CTGTTTACAGAGGCTGCAATGAAAATCAAGGAAGAAGAGTTGAATTCAACTATTTCCAAATTGGAAAACAACTCATCCTCTTTGAAAGAGAATTTGGCAAATGAAGAGTCACAAAAGCTAATAAGCCTTATGATCTCATCTCACAACTCTCTGTAATGTTATCTCATTACCTTCTCTTTATGTTTTATTTTACCTTACATCTTTTGTATAATTACTAGAATGCCATTGATTTTCACAATAAAGAAAAAGAAGCTAGGATGACTTTAGAAAAGAATCAAGATTCTTTAAAGGAAGAGCTTCTACAGGCTAAACAGAATGCATCAACTGCTGAAGAGGAGGTGATATAAATTAAAGAATCTAAAATCATTGAAATAAAACTACGTACAAAACATATTTCTGATTTCAGATTGTCCTTTTTAGGTGAAAACTGAAAGAGACATGAACAAGATTTTGCATGAGTACAACAAAGGCTTGCAAAAGTACAATATCAAACTTCAAGATCAACTGAAAACTGCCATTGATGCAAACAATCAAGTTGCAAAAGAGAAAGCTGCAATCTTGGAAAGGAACGTTACCTCTTCATGAAACAGGAGTTCACTTCTGTAAATGTAAGTCTTTCATCTCAATCTTTTTCCCCTTTGTTCCCAATTTGACCCTCTGGTTAATACATTACATTACAGGATTCACGAGATGATGCAGTCAAACAAAAAGAACTGCTGTAAAAGTGGTTGACATCCTCATAGATGAAATAAAGCAACTTAGGGTAGACCGGAAACACCAGGTGTCAGATTACGAGAGTTTGAGCTTGAATTCAGTCGTTTTGGAGGTTAGTTTTGTCTTTTCACTAGCCTATTAATTTCTAATAATTCCGTTTAACATATTGTCTCTTCTTTTTATAGAAGTGTTGTGCTCAAACAGAGCAAATATCTGTGCTTGAACATCAGTTAGCAGCTGCAAATGAAAAACTTAAGGTACATTTTCATTATCTTTAGAGTAGATTACATTTTTGGTCCCTGAGTATAACTGATTTTTTCAATTTTGGTCCCAAAATGTTTTCTCTTTATATTTTGGTCCTTATTTGAGGTAATTGTAAAACATTTTTTTGTCACTTTACCAAGAAAAAACACTGTATTTTTGGCGACAAATTTGCAAGAGAAAAGTTTTTAAGACCAAATTTGCAAAAGATCAGCATTACTCATGGATCAAATATGTAATTTACTGTTATCTTTGTTGTGTGTTAACTGTTAAGTATATAGTTAACTTTCAAAAAAAACTGTGACTGATTACTATTTTTCCAAATAGATTGTGGATTTATCTTCATTAGAGATAAGAAGAAAATACGAGGACCAAAAACGGATTGTTTCAAAATTAGAGGACCGATTGCTGGAAGCAGGTCAACTTTCTGAAGGGGAGAGATTGAGGAATAAACTCCACAATATCATTTTGGTACCCTTTTTACCAGTTATTTTTAAATTATGTTTTGACAAATGCTTTTTTGGATTTTAATGGTTTTATATAATTGCAGGAGCTCAAAGGGGATATAAGTTGATGTAGTTCAAAGTGGTATGTTTGCTATTCTCATTTTTCTGCATATTTGCATATTTGAAGTCTCATTATGATGTTATTACAGAGTAATGATGATGACAACACACAATCAATTGTCAATGAAATCAGGATGGAGTTTGAAAACACTAACAATGATCAATTTTAGTTCAATTTGATGACAGAGACTTGAAATTTTGGTTTTTTGTAACACGTTTTTACAAAATATTTGATAGTTATTTTTTAACGACCTAGAGGTTTTAATCGTCAAAACATTTCCATTGAACCTGATACCCTAAATATCGTCTGATCTCAAAACTAATTACACTTTTTTAATCGTCATAAATTACAGAACTAACGATTAGTTCTTCGTAATTTATTTCAAAACAAAATATTACCAATATACTGAATTCCATTGATTTTTTTTTTATTTATCCATATAAAATACTAAATGATTTTTACATTGACTAATAAAATAATCTCATATCCACGATTCTGGCTCCAATCAATATTTTTAATCAAATTACTTAATATCAATCCAAAAGTACATTGTTATTTTTTCCATGCAATGTCTACTTTAGTTTCATTTTCTGAAAACCTCACATCTTTTTGTTTAATCTTTATAATCTGGAACAAAGGATTAGGGAAAATTTACATGCGTATTTGATTTAATTGAATGTCATTGATTTTAAACTATTTTTGGGTTTCTAACCATACTACGATCAAATATAATTATATTTAGATAATATAATTACGTTTTATCAAACTTACACATGATTTTAATTTATAATAATTTAGAAATAAACATATATTTGTCTGTTTGCAAAAGTTTTAAACAATAGGATAAAATAGTGACTTATGGATATATATTAAGACAAAAGAAAAGAAACACATGTTTTGTATACACCACTTATTCAGAACAAACGTCCTATATCTGCAAGTGTGCTTGAACTATGACTACTTACCTATGAAGCAAATGGGGAAAAGAGAATATGAATAAGATGACGTGGCCAGAGATTCACATAGTTCAGTGGATACACCAGGAGGTGGGCCAACCTTGATAGGTTTCACTTTCACATCTGCAATCTGAACAAAAGAAGCCGAAGCTAGCCCACTAGTAATCAGTCTTAGCACAACTCTACGACTCATCTCTTTGTGTATGGATTGGGTGTTGATAACGAGTTTAGAACGAGTCACGATGCCATGGCTAGTTTCAGTCATGAGAGCTAGACTGGTCGAGCCACTCAGCTCGGAGCTTACCTCCAGCCCAACCAAAGCCATGGTTCGAGTCATATGACTATTTGCTAATCGCTATGGGTTTTTGTCTAGGCAAAATAAGATAAAGCTAAAGAGATTTTTGTTTCATCGGTCATGTAATGTAAATATGTAATGTGTGGTCAATTGGATATTTTTGATATGTGGCTATTGAGTGGCTAGAAAAGAAGAGTGGTGTTGGGGGTGGTTGCTTGCCTTATTTTTTTAAATATATACTCAAAAAAATATATAATACAATAATTACATTTATATTGTTTTCTTGAAATTTGTTAATATGATTTTGTTTCAATTAGATACCTGTTGTTGTTGTTATTGATTTTAGGGTCTTGTGCGAAAACTAAAAAGTGGATTCATAAATATAATTTTTTATTTATACATTATAATTTTTTTTTATTAATAATAACATCTTTTAATCTAGATCATTCAAATAATAAATTAAGGGTCATAAGTGTACTTCTATGTTACTGTAAGTTTAAAGTAGTTCTACATTGATCATTCATATATATATATATATATATATATATATATATAAATTTAGGTCCCTAAACGACACGGACCATGTGTGGTTGCACACCCGACATGTGCTTGAGGCCGACCCTGTTATGACATTCCCAATTTTCGCGATCAAATAAAACTTTTTCCTTTATGCTTATTTAGAAGTACCTCGCCATCGTGATGTTACAACCAACCACCTATATAATCACAATCACTTAAACTCAAAATACTAATCAAAATACCCAAAACACCCGTAAGTCAAACTTAGGTCAAAGTTAACCTACAGTTGACGTCCATGCGTGGCCATCCATGGCCACACCATGGTCGCAATACGACAAAACATGTGTGCTCAGCCCAACCACCACGCCGTGGGGATCAATCAGAATGACTTAATTCATTAAGCTGATTTCCAACCCGTTCCAGGAGTTCCCAAGCTCATATTAGGTCCAAACCATAACCTAGATGGATAAAGTCTTCAACTTTATCCTTTAGGCCTTGCCAATAAGTCAAGATCCAAAGCCCTAAGTCCTTAATGGAAGCATAAAGCACATACTACTCATTAAGCACTTAATCCTTAGAGTTACTTCTCCAAAGTTTTCGGAAGAGTTTCCAGCACCTTTTGGATCATAAAAATCATAGATTTAGGGACATGCATTTCCATTTTTAGGGCAAAACAAGGGAAAAAATGGCCAAGATTCCATGCATGGCCTCAAAACTCAAATCTACTTTAGATCCAAAGAGTCAAATGCTCTCAATGGCTTGGAGATCCATAAAGTTGCAAGCTTTATGAAATCTCACCTTCCAAAACCCACCAAGCATGAAGAAAAGGGACCAAATCCAAGATCTAACAACCTAGCAAATAAAAGATTGGGTCTTGAACACTCATCCAAGTCCAGAAGAGAAGCTAGAAGATGAATATACTGCTTGCAAGATGATAATCTCCACCAAAGGCTTCATTCTCCTTGCCAATAAAGTATGAAGAATGAAAATACTGCTTGCCAATAAAGTATGAAGAATGAACTACTTGCCAATAAAGTATGAAGAATGAACTTTCGAGAATGATGGAGGCTAGGGTTAGGGTTTCAGTGCTTGAGAAGGCGATGGAAGCTAAATGACCTTGAAACCCTAGGCCATAATGTCCTTTAATTAGGGCTCAAAGCCCAAATGATTAGGGTTTCACCAAAACTTGTTGCCTCGTCGTCGTGGTTCATTAAAACCCGCGACCTATAAAATAATGCCACGCCATGGCCACCCAAAACAATATTGACATTGTAAATTAAATTTGTACCTGAAACAGGTGTTACATTACAAAAATTTGGTGGTTCTTCAAAAGAGTCTGGAGCCTTTGAACAACACGTTTTTTATTAGTGGTGATTTAGAAGACAAGAAGACAACATGGGTTAACTAGAATAAAGTCTTTGCTAGTAAGAAGTTGGGTGGTCTGGGTATAGGCGGTATCTTTGCTTTGAACAATGTTTTAATGTTCAAATGATTTTGGTGGTTTAGATTTGATTCAAATAACCTATGGTTCAAATTCATTTAGTCTATTTATGGCTTAGATGGTGCATTCATCATGCTCATATTCTGATTTCCAGCTCTATCCCTTAGGTTGCTATCATGAAGTCGGTCAAAGAGCTCTCTAAAAAAAGGGATTGATCTTTTGCCTAGTTGCAAGTGGAGCTTGGGAGATGGTCATGGGACGTATTTCTAGGATGATAGCTGTTGTGGTGTTAGTCCTCTTAAAGTTCAATTTTCGGGAGTTTATGCCTTTGATTGTAGTAAGAATTACAACATTGCTTCTTGACTTGATTTGACCGAGTGGTTCTCGGTTTTTAAGAGGAACCTGAGAGGTGGATATGAGCTCTTTTTAGTACTCGACCTTAAGGATTGCATCAATATTGTTGTTTTGTCTTCTCAATGAGACATATAGGTGTGGCTTTTAGATGCTTCTTCCAGACATACGATTGCATATGCTAGGATTTTCAGTAATGTTAATACTTTTATAAGGGGTGTAAATTCCACTAGGTGGAATCGGTTAATCCATATGAAAGTCAATATCTTTTAGTGGCGTCCTGCACAAAACAAGATTCCTACTCGGGTCAATATTTGGATAAGAATGGAATTGACATTGGTTTAAATTTATGTCCGACTTGTGATATTGATGTGGAGACGACCAATCATCATTTTTTAATTGTGAGATGGCTTATGATCTTTAAAGTCTTTGTGCTAGATGATGGAACGTGGATACATTAGTCTTTTTTTTAATGGATTGGACAACTTGGTTCTCTTCTCAAAGGATGACGTCTGTAGGTTGTATTTGTCTGTAGGGGTGCTCATCAGTTTAAATGCAATAGAATTTGATGGAGCCGATGTAATCCGATTGTCTACTGGATGTTGGATTTTGTCAACTAATCCAATCCAGTTTGTTATATGCAACCAAATCGAAGCGATCCAATTTACATATTGGATCAGATCGGTTTTATACATTGGATATATTTGATTAGTTATCGGTATTCCAACAAATTATAATCTATTTCTATCAAATAACAACCAAATATAATTATGATAATCAAAATTAAAATCATACACAATTACAATAAATAAGACGAACAAACGACACTTCAAATCTTCGACTTCACTGAACAAGGTTCAAACATGTAAAATCATTAAGAGAATTGGCTATGTTTGTAATTTTTATGATATTAATTGGTTGGTAATGGAATATGTAACACCCAAATTTTCAAAACAATTTTTCACTTTTTTAAAACCATATAAATTCATCCACAATTGCTTTCAAAAACAATGTATCAATTTTATCTCACTACAAATCCCAAGATCAAATCATAATAAACTCTGCGGGTGTGTGTACAGATCATGCCGGCGCCTTCCCGCGATTACCACTGGTACCTGAAACACATAACACATAACACCGTAAGCATAAAGCTTAGTGAGTTCCCCAAAATACCACTCTAACACATATTAGCCACTCGAGGCTATGACTCTGCTGACCCTCTGGTCAGTGTGTCTCAGTGGGACCCTCCAGTCCCAATTCTCTGTGGGCTCTCTAGCCCTAACTCTATGGACCCAAAGGTCCTAACTCTGATAACTCTGGATCATGCATATCACATATCACAATAAATCTCAACACATAAATAGCATACAAATACACTGGCACATAACTATAGAACATAACACACATTAGCCACTCGAGGCTATAACTCTGTGGGCCCTTGGGCCCTAACTCTGTGGATCCTCTGGTCCTAGCTCTTTGGACCTTCCGGTCCTAACTCTGGTATACACACAACATAAATCACATAGAAATAATGTCGTGCCACAAATCACATAGCTAGCATACAATAACTCTGTCACATAACTCTGTTACCACTCTAGGTAAAGTATAGTGAGAAGACTCACCTCGGATGTCTCGGATAATATCTCGCTCGCGTATTCACTGATCTAGCCTCTGCCTAAACACATAACATAATCACCTCAATCAATAACGGCTCTCTAGGCTAGACTAGACTCTCACATGTTCTCTAAGAAGGCTAAAAGACTATTTTACCCTTCAAACAGTCCACAAGTCCCATTGTTGACCAAACCCTAAAAGTCAACAAAAGTCAACGGTCAACCCTTGACCAGACTCGCCGAGTGCACAAATGTGACTCGGCGAGTTCAGTCGTGAACTCGAGTCCTCTATCCCCCCTCTGACTCACTGAGTCATTCCCCTAACTCGGCAAGTTACTCACTGAGTGAATTACGGGAAACCCTAACCCTACTCGCCGAGTCTGCTCTTGGTACTCGGCGAGTTCACGCCATGCTCGAGCTCAAATGAGCTCCTGAGGTCAGATCCGCTCCTCTAACTCATAGATCTGGCCTCCTTAAGCAATATAAACACGTAAAGTTTGGATCTTGATGTCCATGCAAGAACCCAATGGCTTTATTTGAAGAAATGGCCTCAATATGCCACCTTAAGCTCATAACTCTCCATGACACCCATAAAGATCAAGAAGTTAAGGTCTCTGGACCTCTTTGGATCCAGATTCGAAGCCCCAACACAAGAAGGGACCAATTGCTTCACAAATCATACTCAAAAAGGGGCTAGAAACCCCAACTCTCAAAGCTTACACCAAAACTGAAAAGGGGATCGAATGTTTACCTCAAGATGAAGTCCCTAAGCTCTGAAATCCACAGATTAGCACCCTCTTCAGTTTCCTCTTGCCTTGGTCACCTTCTTCTTGCAAAATCACCCACTCAAGGATCAAAAATGGCTCCTTTTCTCTCTCAAAATGTTCACACACTCTGGGGTTTCTCTCTATCAACTGGTAGCCGCCATTGAAGGCCATAAGGGCCTTTAAATAGGTCCCAAACCCAAGAAATTAGGGTTTCATTAAACAGCATGGACTCGCCGAGTCCACGTATGGACTCGCCGAGTCCGGTCATTAACCCGGATGGAAATTCGCGACTCTACTCGGCGAGTCTAAGCGTCAACTCGCCGAGTCTCTCCCAAAATC